AAATGAAAAATCTTTGTGCCTTCAGAAGCGCAATCCAAAAAGGTGGGGTTACCACTGGAAGCTAATTGAATGGAGATCCTTTGAGGGAATTTGCAAAGCTCCGGGACTTCGTACTTATTAACCGTTGCCGATTTGCGAGATTTCCAGACGGCCATCTTATATACACCGACGGGTCACTCCTAAATGAACTAGTAGGGTGTGCATTTTACGATCCCGTAAAGAATTACAGCGAAAAGTTCTCACTCCCACCGTACCTATCCATATATAGTGCAGAATTGATTGCTATAACGGAAGCTATGAAGTATGCATCGTCATATGTATAGATTTTCATGTTCAAAAACTTCGTAATTACAAAAAGTTGTTTATAGCGGACTACATTATCATCGAGATCCTTGAACTTTCAGCAATGATCAGGGCTAAAGGGCATAAAGTAGTAATCACCTGAATCAAAGGCCATACGGGGTTCAAACATAGTGATGTAGTAGATCGGCTAGCCACGGCCAAAGATGCCACCACAACGGACAACACTCTAAATGTAGCTGTACCCAGAAAAGATCTGAATGCTATATTAAGGTTGCAGCAGCAGATAGATTGGCAAACCAAATACCTTTCAAACAACAAAGGTATATTCTACAAAAATATGTTTCCGTTAGTAGGACAAAAGCCTTGGTTCAGCAAAGAAAATAATATAAACAAGACCTTTTGCAAAACGATGGTAAGGTTACGGTCCAATCACAGACTCTGCAAGGGATACCTAAACAGACTGAATTTAATTCCGTCACCGTACTGTGAAGACTGTAGAACATACGAGGATCTTGAACATATAATCATGCACTGCAGGAAACACGGGAATGAACGCAGAAATATTTTTAATGCCAAAGAAATAAATCTACAACCGCCTTATGTATAGTACTTTGTTATCGTCAACCGGATTGGCTGTATACCGTGAGTTGTACGGTTTCCTTAGAAATAGTAATGTTACTGGGTGATTGTATAAAAGTGTATAAAAATATCCTAATATCTAGTTCTCAATAATAATAATAATAATGCAATAATGTAAAAAAAGTAGTTGTACAATAATTTTGGAGTCAAATATATAAAATAAAAAAAACCGTAGCCGATCCAACATTTTCAAAAAATAGCAAATTTCAAGATTTATGTTTTTTCTGAATTTTTCGTGTCGAATTTTTTTATTAGTTCTGCAATGTAAATGGGTTTCCTTACAGCAAATTTAACATTCTTTCAGATGGCACAAACCAGATTTTTCTAAAGTCAGTATTTCTGAAGTTTATAAACAATTTAGTGAATCTAAGTCGAAAAATTAAAAAACCAAAACCTCAAAATTACTTCTTTACCGTTGAGATTCGTAGAAAGGTTTTTGTTACATATGGTTAGTAGAAACACCTTCTGAAATTTTCGGTACTTATCGCCCAATAAAAGCTGGTTTGCTACTCGTACGACGAATTTCTTCAAATACACCTCAAATGTAACAAAAAACCCTAGCCCCAGTTTCTACCCTTTCGCAGAAAATTTAATATTTCATGTTTTTTCCCACTAACTTTTGTTATAAAATGTTATAACTTATCATCGTAGCAGACTAAAAGAACTATATGTTTCATGAGCTGCTAAATTTCAAAGTTGTCAAAAAATTAAATTTGCAACCACGTTGGTAAAATTCACGGAAGGGCTTGTCCAATTTCATACTTCGTCGCTTAATAAGCTTTCTAGCGGTGTACTCTCTTGTAAATTATAAATAATAATTGATGAAATGTATTAATCGAAAACTGAACGAAGGAACTGTGGGTTTTCTTTCAAATTGATATCTAATTTTTAACCCAAGAACTTGGTCGTATGGAGGAGCGATGTTTACTTATCCGTTTTTATAAGGAGCGAGTAATCTTCAGTCATATCTATGTTTGTAGGACTTTTGTCGGTCAATTTTTTTTAAATGCATTTTTTAGAAAATTTGTTTTTAAAATGTTTGAAAGACGCTTCGTAACTCATAATGGAATAAGCGATGAGATTTTAAAGCAGATCAACCACCACTTATTTCGACATCAAGTTGTCATCAAACGCAAATTAAAATTGTTCATGTTTGATGGTATATGCAAATGTACGTGTGTTAAACATGTTCTGAACTGTGGTTCATTCAACCTTTATCACTCAATAAATCCAAAAATGGAAGTTTCTTTTACAATTGTAAATGCAAAGTCCAAAAGTATATTTTCACATGATACATTTACGCCTTGATATCGAATTGTTAGTTTTATTCTCACTTTTTTACTCAAATTGCAATTTTTACTAACAACTTTTTTTTCTAAGTTTTTACATGGAATTTTTTTTAATTGAACATTTTACATAAATCTTTTTTTAAGCATAGTTTGACGATGGGTGCACAGTGTAGGATCGATACTTGTGTATATTTTTACCATGGCTACGATGAATCACCGGCTGGTGGGGATGCATCAACCCCAATGCAACTGCAGCCTTGCACCGACAACATGGCCGATCGCACCCTCGAAAAATAAACCCAGCAAGGGAAAAGGGTGAGCTAGAGAGGAAAAAAACGCAATTACGTGCACGCTCACGCATGGAAAGAGCGCTCGCTTTTCGTACCGGAACACAAAATTCAAACCGCGATTCCTATTCCATTTAGGAAGGAGATGAACTAGGTATAGGGTTGAAAAAACTACCCTTTACAGACTTTTTAATAGACTTGAATGTCTGACAATTAGTTTTGTAACATTCAAAAAGAATTTTTTTTCAACTATCACCTGTAGCCTGATACCCTTTCAGCCCATTGACTTCAGAGAAAGCCGACCTATTCATAAAAGGAATAAAAAAACTAACCCTAGCTTTTGAGTTTCTATCAAACCGGTTTGATCCGCCCACATAGCACAATAACAATTATTTGGCTTTTGTTTTTTTTTGCCAACTTTTTTTCAAGTCGGCCACCCCATTCGGAGATGTATCTCCTTTGCTAATCGCCCGAGTGGTTAATCGGTTGTTGTATGCTTTCGACATACACCTGACTATGTCGACAAAAAATCTGTGTATCTCTATCAACCCTAGATGCTTTTGAAAAGCGATTAAAAAGTTGCCCATGGCATCAGTTTTTAATTTATTATCAAAGGGAAATAGTTACAAAAAATGAATCGACGTCTTTATTATTTCTATTAATTTAGAAAGTTAGTTAAAGCATTTAATGGATTATAACACAATTAACAACACTACCCCTACTTATTTATGAGAAAAACCATGTAATGTTCGATCTTAGTATTTCGCATGTACAGACACTCATTGGTAAAACAGAAATTATGGATAGATTGATATATAGATAGGTCAATATGTAGATAAGGAGTTAAAGAGAGAAAAAGAGAAAGAGAGAAAGAGAAAGAGAGAGAGTGAGTTGGAGTAACTGGGAGTGATATATTTTTCCTTTTTTAATACGGCCCGGAGGACCAAAATCAAAGAAGTGGAAGCTAAGATTGGTGAGTGAGGGAGGAAAAAACTGCCCTCTCTTATTTAAAGAGAAATTGTGTGAATGAGAGAGAAAGAGAAAGAGAGTGGTTATGGCATAAAGAGTAATTATCAATTAACTGAGCGAGAGTAATTGTTAAACAAGGAGAAAGATTAAAGAGTGATGGAATAATTAAAAAAAGAGAAAGAGAGAGAGAGAGTGAGTGAGAGAGAGAGAGAGTAACTTGAAGTGATATATTTTTCCTTTTTTTAATACGGCCCGGAGGACCAACCTAAAAGAGGAAGAAGCTAAGATTGGTGAGTTAAAGAGCAAGAAACTGCCCTCTCTTAGTTCAAGAGAAATTGTATCGATGAGAGAGAAAGAGAGTGATTATGACATAAAGAGTCATTATGAATTAACTGAGCGAGAGGAAATGTTAAACAAGGAGAAAGATTAAAGAGTGAGGGAATAATTAAAAGAGAAAGAGAGAGAGAGAGAGAGAGAGAGAGAGAGAGAGAGAGAGAGTGGGAGTAACTGCGAGTAATATATTTTTCCTTTTTTTAATACGGCCCGGAGGACCAAAATCAAAGAACCGGAAGCTAAGATTGCTGAGTAAGGGAGCAAAAACTGCCCTCTCTTAGTCAAAGAGAAATTGTGTGAATGAGAGAGAAAGAGAGTGATTATGAGATAAAGAGTAATTATTAATTAACTGAGCGAGAGTAATTGTTAAACAAGGAGAAAGATTGAAGAGTGAGGAGATAACTTAAAAAAAAGAGAGAGAGAGAGAGAGAGAGAGAGAGAGAGAGAGAGAGAGGGAGAGTGGGAGTAACTGGAAGTGATATATTTTTCCTTTTTTTAATACGGCCGGGAGGACCAAAATCAAAGAAGTGGAAGCTACGATTGGTGAGTAAGGGAAGAAAAACCTGCCCTCTCTTAGTTCAAGAGAAATTGTATCGATGAGAGAGAAAGAGAGTGATTATGACATAAAGAGTAATTATCAATTAACTGAGCGAGAGCAATTGTTAGACAAGGAGAAAGATCAAAGAGTGAGGGAATAATTAAAAGAGAGAGAGTGGGAGTATCTGGAAGAGATATGTTTTCCTTTTTTGAATATGGCCCGGAGGACCAAATTCAAATAGAAAGAAGCTAAGATTGGTGAGTGAGGGAGCAAAAACTGCCTTCTCTTAGTTCAAGAGAAATAGTGTGAATTAATCAACTGTCTTTCAGACGTTTCGCCATCTTCAGTGGTTCATTATTCACAAAATGGCTCACTATTGACATATATTGACAATAAACCGACAAAAGATCCCCCAATGCAAAAAAGCCGTCCGGCAGACAAAATCAGCGAGAACAGTCCAACCAGAATGATGGGAAATGACCGAACTACAGATTCACGCAAGAACAGTTTTTACTATAAAAGATTATTGTAAAACTTGTAAACTATTTTTTTTTTGATAATTTAACCGCAAAGTTGTTAAATCTACGCAAACAATGATTTATTTGAAACTCAAAAAAAGATGATATATTTTTTGATACTTACATAAACGTTTGGAATACTTTGTCATCATTGGCGATGAAACTTGTTCCTTTAACTCGCCTAAAGAAAATTGAAATGAACGTTTATCTTTTTAGAATCGCATGTGAAATTTCTTCGTCTTACTTTTCTTCCAAAGTCCCTCGTAAGAAAACAAATTCTTCTCTTTCGTGCTTTTCTCTCAAGAGTTGAATTTCATCGGTTTACAATTGTTGTAATTACGAGCGCTTGAGCAAACAGCGCCTATAACTTCCACCTCACTCCGTAGACTCCAGGCTATCAAGCACATCTCACCTTTCTCACTTAATACCTGAATAAAAAGATTTTGATTTAATAAATTATACTTCAATTAATTCGGTAATTTATTTTTAAGAATTAATATTACAAATTACATAATATCTTTTTCAATTGACATGTTATTTAAACTTTATATGGGAAAATTTAGATCATAGGTTTGATTTTTAATAAAATCATTAAATTATTCTTAAATATGAAAAATTGCTGTTTGCTTAGCTATTATTATATGCTTTAAGATATTATAGCATATTGATATAATAATCAAGCTGAAAAATCGATTCTTCACTCATAAGGAAAAATTTAAATATTAATATCACTTACAATAACAGAAAACATGATACCTTGATAATGGAAAATGTCAGATGATTTATGATATGGATGTTAACATTTATTTTTTCAAGTCAACTGCCTCAACAAATGAAGAAGAGGAAATTAAAGTTTTTTCCACGAATAGGTTTTATATATTTAATTGCGTTTCTTAGAGCAAGAAATAGGTGAAACTTTTAACAACTTGAGCTTTGCGAACGACTCCACTTAAAGCTACCAGCTATCTGCAGAAGATTTTGCATAAAATTGAGGGGCATTGAATATCCCTAAATGTAAAACAAGTTTTGTAAGCATTATAAACAAATGTTTTTCTGAAACCTACATCACACCCGACCGCATCTCACGATATCTGAATAATTATAAACAAAGCCGAAGGTTGTGGGTTCGAATCGCGCTCGTGACACTGACTTTTCTATCTCAACCAATATCTCATGTAAAAATTAATTAATTGAAAGAGGTTATTTGGTCAATCGGACCACGAAATCTAATAAGTTTATTATAAACAAAGCAACATCAAGAAAAGAGAAGGAAAAAATGAAAAGAGAAAAAAGCTAGCGTGACTCATTAGCTCAATGTACGATAATTAACGTCCTTTGGAAAAGAAGAGTTCAAGTTTTCCAAAAAGAAGTGTTAATTATAGGAATAAGAAAAAGGCATTTGATGTGTGTAGACCAAACAGGCAGCTTAAATCGGCACAGATCGCAAGAACCCAAGTAATTAGGTAATTAGGCAAAAAGAGGAGGTAAACAATAGAACAAATAAAATCGTACTTGACCAGGTATGTCATCGATTTACAAAACCATTCCTATCTTCAGTGAGCATTCATCCAAATTGACATAAGATATGACTATAAATTTATAAATGATATACACAATATAGAAATTTTAGGTTTAATCAAAGTATTTGTGTTCATTCTAATTGTGTTTTCTGTGTAGATGGGTGACTGCTGTGTGTCATGTTGAGTCACTAACACTCTCGTTTGTATAATTTACAAAGTATTTTTATATTTTTAAACGATGTTTGTAAATCCCAGGCCCTGAAGATGATCTCAATAAAGATCGAAACGTTGGCACGATAAAGAAAATGTTTTTCTAAACTAACAGCACACCAGACCTCATCTCATGATCTCTAAATAGTCGTAGATAAATTAAAACTCATAAGTGGTATCGTGCAAAACTTACAAGGATCAAAGATGAAATGGAAAAGAATGCTGGTTCCAGGATAAGGATAGACAAAGATAATCAAAAGTGGACGGAAATAGAGAAATCCCAGAATTAAGGGTGAAAAAATTAAAAATAAGATAGTCAGGCAACCTAACCATCGACTCCTTAAGTTCATTTTCTTGCTATTTCTAAAAATAACTTAAAGTTTTCTTAGTTTTTAAATAATAAATGTAGAAAGTGGAAAATACCTTAAAACGTAAACTACGTAGTGGAATCGAACGAAAAGGACAAGGAAAACTGAAAAAAAGAAAAAGGCAATCCAGGAAGAAAAACTCATGTTTTCAACGAGTCCTTAAGTTCTTTTTTCCTGTTTTGTTGTTATTTCCAAAAATAATTTAATTGTTTAATAGACATAGAACATGGAATACTTAAAGTTTCACGACTGATGACGTGAAAGTGTCATAAGAAAGAGAAACAAAATTTGATAGAAAAAGGGCAATCCAACAAGAAAAAGTAAAAAAAAATCATCAGACAAGGTTTCATCGAGTCCCTAATTTTTTTTTAATAAACAGAAATCCGAAGATAACTAAAAACTTATAATTATGTCGTGGAAGTTGTAAAAAAAAGAGGCAATCCAGGAAGGAAAAGGTAAAAAATCTCAACAAGCAAGTTTGTCTTCATATCCTCAAGTTCTTTTTTCAGTTTTTCTTGTTATTTCTAAAAATTACTTAATTTTTTAAAATAAACATAGAACATCGTATGCTTTAAAGTTCACGACTGATGACCTGGAAGACTAATAAGAAAGAGAAGCAAAATTGGATAGAGAGAGGACAATCCTTCAAGAAAAAGTAAAAAACTCTCATCGGACAAGTTTTCTTCGAGTGCCTAATTCCTTTTTCTTGTTGTTTCTAAAAGTTTTTTTTTAATAAACAGAAAGTCGACTATAACTAAAAACTCATAATTATGTCGTGGAAGACTAACAAGAAAGTCAAGCGTAAGTTGGAAAAGAAAGAAAAAAACAGAGCAATTAAGGAAGAAAAATGTAAAAAATCTCAACAAGCAAGTTTTCCATCGTACCGTTAAGTTCTTTTTTCCTGTTTTTCTTGTTATTTCTAACAATAATTTAATTTTTTTTAAAATAAACATAGAACATCGAATGATTTAAATTTCACGACTGATGACGTCAAAGACTAATAAGAAAGAGAAGCAAAATTGGATAGAGAGAGGACAATCCAACAAGAAAAAGTAAAAAAAATTCTCATCAGACAAGTTTTTTTCGAGTGCCTAATTCCTTTTTCTTGTTGTTTCTAAAACCTTTTTTTTTTTAATAAACAGAAACTGGTCGATAACTACAAACTCGTGTCGTGGAAGACTAACGAGAAAGTCGAGCAAAAGAGGAAAAAACAGGACTCTCCAGGAAAAAATAAAGAAAATCTGATTAGACATGCTTTTTTTCATCGAATACCTAAGTTTTTTTTTCTTGTTGTTTCTAAAATTAATTCAATTTTTTTTAACGGATAAACATAGAGAATCGAAGAAAGACAAGCCATTGTTGATAAAAACAGGACTATCCAGGAAAAAATAAATAAAATCTGATTAGGCATGGTTTTTTTCATCGAATGTTTAAGTTATTTTTTCTTGTTGTTTCTAAAAATAATTCAATTTTTTAACGGTTAAACATAGAGAGTCGAAGAAAGACAAACCAATGTTGATAAAAACAAGACAATCCAAGAAAAAAAAATTCTCAACAGGCATGGATTTTATAAAGTCCTTAAGTTCGTTTGTTTTTTCTTAAAATAAATTACAGATTTTTGGTTTTTAAAAGTAAACATAGAAAGTCGAAGATGCCTTAAAACCCATAATTGATATGGAATACTAACAGAAAAGACAAGCAAAAGTGAAAAGCAATGAAACAATCAGTAAAGAAAAAGTAAAACAGTACTTATCAGACAAGGTTTTCATCGAGTCTTTTTTCTTGTTGTTTCTAAAAAAAAGCTTAAGTTTTTCTGCCTTTTAAAAAAGAAGCAAAGAAAATCGAAAATACTTTAAACTTCACAGAAGACTAAAAAGTCACAGTTTGAATAGAAGAAAATGCAGTTGGATAGCTAAAGACAAGAAAAATTTGAAGAAAATTGGATAATATATTTCAATTCAAGTTAAATAGTTGAAATGAGTGCATGATTAAGTTAAAAGGTTGAATGTTCAAATTAATTTCGTTGTTTCTTTTATTAGATAAAATGTGTTGAGAAATTTCAGGTAGAGTAGAAGTCATTTTAAAGGGATAATCCATGGAAAAGGGGATGGATGTAGGAATATCGAAAGATTATTAGAAAACATTGTTAAAGTTGATGAAGGATGAGGGCGGGCGGTGCCCTTTCATCGGATTTTTCCCAGTCGCTGAGTAAGACGAGAACCAATTTCAAACCCCCGGCCGCCCCCGTCGGAAGGCGTTAATTAAAGGAGCGAGGCAGTGAAGTATGAGGAAAGAAGATGAGACGGCAAAGGGCCGGGGGCCGGGGTATTAAAAGGCGATGTGGCGCCCTGAGAAAAACAAGATAAGGGCGTTGCTGGAACGGGGGTGGTTCCGAGGTGGAGATATAGGAAACGGGGTTCAAACATGGTGGAACGGGCAAGAAAGAGGGGCCGATAACAAAGGCTAATGGGAGAAACCAAGTTGGACCGAAACTTTTTCACGCAGGAACGCCTAACAATGTGAAGGTTTAAATTAAAGTCGAGGGAAAAAGGAGGAAAGGTTTGTTTTATATAATGAGCAACCCTTTCGCCCTTTATTTCTGACAAAACAGTAGATATCTCCTTGCCCCTTCTAATTATACGATTCCATTGAAAACCTATTATTACGGGAGAATCTCCGACCCCCTCTTTCTGAGCCCCTGCATAAACCCAGAATAACATAAGATCGATGTTCATTACTTCAAGGACCTCCGTACAACCCTTCTTTATTCTTCGGAAGCACGGATTCATAACACGACCCTAAATCCGGCATTCCTACCCAACTACCCCCCTCTTTGCCCATTACCCTTATTATAATTCGGAAGAATTCATTTCAAATATATATTTAGTTATACACAACATACCAAAAATTCTTAATTGTTCCCCCCAACAAATAATAAACAAAGTCGTATCATCATCCCCTATTTGAATTAGAATCACTTTTCATAAGTTTAATATTGAAGTGGTAAACTTATTTTCCTAGCCGTGTTTACAAGTTTAACCAAAAGAGATTTTCTTTGTTATGTTTACATTTTTAAATCATTTGTCAGGAATCTAGAAAAAATTAATTATTGATTCAAAAACTGTATTCATTCTTTGTTGTAGATTAGTTTACATTTTTAACTTCAGGAATAAAGAATCACCCGAAATTCAACTAGCAAGTGGTAATATGCTATACACAATAATTGAATTTGAAAAACCAAATTATGTAAATAAAAATAAATTCTTAGGAGTTTCTTTGAGTAATTAGTAAACATACAGTTACATTTTACATAATTCATTAGATTTCGTGGTCCGATTGACCAAATAACACCTTTCAATTAATTATTCTTTATGTAAGGTATTGGTTGAAATAAAAAAGTCAGTGTCACGAGCGGGATTCGAACCCACGACCTTCGGCTAAATACGCTGCTGCTCTACCACTTGAACTATCGTGATCCACTCGGACACCAACTTCCATTCAAGGTTTTGGGTTTGAATTTCACGATGGCTGGTGAAGTCACGATAGATCAATGGTTAGTGCAACGGCATATTGAGCCGAAGGTCGTAGGTTCGAATCCCGCTCGTGACAATGACTTTTTATCTCAACCAACACCTCACATAAAGATTAATTTGGCATAATGATAAAATGGTTGTAAATTAAATCTAAAAATGTCATGACTTCTTAAAAAAATCTCTTCTTGTAAAACAGATCATTATAATTATCAACCTTAATTATTTCATTTTTTTAAATTTAAATTTGATAGATAATTCCTGTTTGAACGTTTTAAATGGTTAACCATTATCTTACCTAAGCATTACAATATAAAGACTTTTCAATTTCTTTCTTGATTGTTGACCTCAAACTAATTTTCGGGTCCGTTTGTTTTCGCTTCGCTCTGTTAACCCTGACGTTCCATTTTATCATTTTTCGGCTTCCTTGAAGGGCTTGAAAGGCACCATCTTTCACCGCTCTGAAAAGAATAAATATGTTATTTGTGAAACCAGCCAATCGACCTATATCCACGTGGAAATAAACGTTTATTTTGTGAATGATTGAATGGGAGAGAGAAAGGGAGAGTGAGAGTGAGAGATAAAAAAGGCCCCCATATCAATATTACAAATTCCCTTTATATAATAAAAATCATAACTATTTATTTTACTTTATTTATTACCTGTCGTCTATTGTATATGCTTATATTACACAATCACTCAGACACTCACTAGTACACTAAAACCTAACAATATTTATATGAAAAACATAAACATTTTTATAATGAACATAATATTAATATTCGACATTTAAATCAGTTGTTAATTAAAAACAAAAAATAAAAAATACTTAGCAATTCTTTTTTACTAAAAAGGATTATGATAATGAACAATATACCTTCAGAAATAAAAAAAAATCTAAAAAACCAAAAATTATTCAAAAATAAATTAAAAGAAATCACTCCGCATATAACTTTTATATTATATAATTTTATTCATACAATTAAGTTAGGTCCAATTTATTGTATATTTGTATATTACACACTAAATGTTAAATTTAGTAAAACTGATTAAAGCTAAAACTATGTTTCATATACATTTTGTTTGGTTATTTATGTCGTATTTATTTATTTTTGTAAAACCAAACTCGTTGATTGTAAGAAAGGTCAATATGACCTAAATCTGCGAGTATTATAAATAAAGCATTTCAATTTACCTTTCTTGCACTATCTCTCTCTCCCGCCCTCTCTTTCCCTTAAATGTAAATTGAATGTAAGAATGGTCGATACTTGACCAAATTTTTGCGACATTATTTAAAGCCACATTCATTCATTCTATTTCTCTCTCTCTCTCTCTCTCTCTCTCTCTCTCTCTCTCTCTCTCTCTCTCTCTCTNTCCGTACCTATCTGTTTATCTATGTTTGTATTAGTTGTTTATCTATCTTCTAAAACGTTAATTATATATAATTTTTTTGTCGCATTAAGTTTCTCCATGTTATCGTGTATTGTATCGCAAACGTATTATTTTGCTTTAGTTTCTTTTTATTTAATTTTTAGTTATACGTTAAGATTTTAAAATAATATGTAAATCTGTAAAAAGTCGGATCACTTTATTTTATAGTAAATTTGACATTCCCTTGAGATATAAAAGTAGTCCTTGTGACCACATCTTTCATTCATTCATTCTCAACTTTCTTTCGTATGTTAAACAGGCGACCGTGTATTCATTTCAACTTTTTGCGCTCTGGTGATGAAAAAAGCAAAAATACAAGAAACGTTCCCTTTAGGTCACATCAATTTTCTGAAAATGAGTAATTTTTTATATTACTCGCTATAACACAAAATAGCGATGACTGTCTATTTTCACCTATTTCTTGAAAATCTCAACTATTTTGAAAACACATTGAAATCAACCTTATTGGCCTAATGTTCACACTATTTTTACTAATCTATAAGGTGGTTTTGTATATCTATTCATCCCTTGATTAATTTCAGAATTAATAACTTAAATTGTTACAAAGATTAACAAGGTATAAAAATACATGTATATTTTTAGGATTAAAAGTTTAAATTGGAGAAAAAAGGGTAATTAGAAATACCGGAGCCGGTTTGTCAGTGGGCGAGAGTTGATCGAAAATTTCTACCCCGAGCCGAATTGAAAACAAACTGGGTTTTCCGGAGTTTAAACTCGTTGACCCAGATGGCAGGTTCACCCTCCTTTTGACAAACGGGCTCCGGTTTAAGTTTTACTGGCCCGCTTTCTTCCCGTTCCAAGTATTTTTCCAGGCCTCCAGGTGGAGCCGCCCCTCGGACGGGGACGGGGCACGTATGAGTTGTAAATCTCTCTTATCTCTCCCTAGCCGCAAAAGGCCTTCTCAAATTCCGACTCTTCTACCGATTTTACTGTAAGAACTCTCTTTATCACGGTGCATTATTTATCGGACTCCTCTTCTTTGCTCTTCTTATCTCGCCCCCACTTCTACTAGGGCTTTCTTCCTTTTAATAATAAATTCCACTGAGCAAACTCAATTTACATAAAGGAAGAAAGGCGATGTTAACGAAAGGAATATTTATTTTCCCGTTTTTTCTAATTTCTTTCTCGTTTCCTCACTCCACTCACAGACACACTATTTCATATGTAAAACGCACGCGCGCACATACTTCTGTGTTCGGATGATGAAATAAACCAAAATTAATAGAATTATTACATAAATTTAACTAATATATAGTGATTGTGTAATTACGACCTGTCGGATTATCTACAGTTAGTTGTCTATTGATTACAGATCAAGCTTATCACATTTCTCTTCAATGTACGTGTGCTTTCAAGGTTTTGGCGGATTTACAAATGTACAAAAATAACTAGCTTTTCCTGACTAAATTTTCAGGTGTATTACGTACTTTTTTCGTTACTGTTTTTAAGGTCTTGGTTGAAAATGGCAAATAGATGGAAAATTCGAATGGTTGTACGCTGAGAGAGGAGAGTTGGTGCCGAGAGGATCGAGGATAGCTCAAGTGGTTAGATCAGCGGTGTATTGAGCCGAAGGCCGTGGGTTCGAATCCCGTTCGTGACACTGACTTTTTATCTCAACCAAGACCTTACATAGAAAGACTAATTATAATTATAATTTAAAATGTTAATAATGAACTAGCGATAGTTTCAAAAGTACTTATTTTAAACAAACCAACTTTTTACAAACATAATGATATAATTTCTATTGAAAAAAGAATATTTTTCATAATAATATTAAAAAATGTGAAAACAATATACCTTACTTTCTCCGGTCGGAAATTCCTCATTTGATTCTTGTGAACGACAAGTATCCTGGACTGTTTTTCAAACTCCAATCCTAAAAAATTAAATTAATAGATCACTAAACATGAAGTTTAGCCTAAAATTGCAAATTTAAGCCAATTTCAAAAAATCCTTCCGCTGGATTACATTGTTTTCAAAATCGTAAAACCTAAAAAGTAAATAAAGATGAAATAAAACTATATATTTGAGGTTCCAAAAATCATCTGATTAGCTACATAAATGAAATATAAACTGTTGATGACATATTAAAAATCAGGGCGAAGACCAATTCGAAAACATCGGTCCTTCCAAGAGTTTCCGAATAAAATGTCCGTTTTATTTTCACTGCAACACTACATAATTTTGATGACTAAAAATATGACTATTTATGACCACCAAATTCCGGGGTTTGAACAGTTAAAAGGTTATGATCCGTTTTATGTTCATTATGCAACACTACATAATTTTGAAGACTAAAAATATGACTATTTATGACCATAAAATTCCGGAGTTTGAACAGATGAAAGATTAAGATCCGTTTTATTTTCACTATGCAAGACCACATAATTTTGAAGACTAAAAATATGACTATTGGGTTGTCCGGAAAATAATGCAGGATTTTAAGTTTTCATTTAAAAAAATCTATATAAAATATTCTGTTTACGTTTACAGGATTACTCATTTGTATGAATGTCAACACTTATTAATCCTCTTCCAAATGNTGGGAAATTATTTTGATTAAAGAACATTGCTTTAAAGTAACTAGTTTCTTTTTTTTGTTTAATACCAAAATCCTGCATTATTTTCCGGACAACCCAATATTTATGACTACAAAATTTTGGGGTTTGAACAGTTACAAGCCTAAGATCCGTTTTATTTTCACTATGCAACACTACATAATTTTGAAAACTAATTATGATGATATAAGATTTATGACTAATTATGATTACACTGAGAAAAATATGACTATTTATGACCACACATTTTTGGGTTTGAATAGTTACAAGACTAAGATCCGTTTTATTTTCACTATGCAAGACCACATACTTCTGAAGACTAAATATATAACTATTTATGACCACAAAATTCCGGAGTTTGAACTGTTAAAATATTAAGATCCTTTTGATTTTCACTATGCAACACTACATAACTTTGAAGACTAAAAATATGACTATTTATGCCGACAAAATTCCGGGGTTTGAACAGTTAAAAGGTTAACATCGGTTTATTTTCACTATGGAACTACATAATTTTGAAGACTAATTATGATGATATAAGATTTATGATTAATTATGATTATACTGAGAAAAATATAAACATTTTATGACCACAAATGTTTGGGTTTGAACAGTTACAAGACTAAGAACCGTTTTATTTTCACTATGCAAGACCACATAATTCTGAAGACTAAATATATAACTATTTATGACCACAAAATTCCGGAATTTGAACAGTTAAAAGATTAACATCCGTTTTATTTTCACTATGCAACACTACATAATTTTGAAGACTAAAAATATGACTATTTATGACTACAAAATGTTGGGGTTTGAACAGTTACAAGACTAAGATCCGTTTTATTTTCACTATGCAACACTACATAATTTTGAAGACTAATTATGATGATATAAGATTTATGACTAATTATGATTATACTGAGAAAAATATGACTATTTATGACCACAAATGTTTGGGTTTGAATAGTTACAAGACTAAGATCCGTTTTATTTTCACTATGCAAGACCACATAATTCTGAAGACTAAATATATAACTATTTATGACCAAAAAATTCCGGAGTTTGAACTGTTAAAATATTAAGATCCGTTTTATTTTCACGATGCAACACTTTGTAACTTTGAAGACTAAAAATATGACTATTTATGACCACAAAATTCCGGAGTTTGAACAGTTAAAAGATTAAGATACGTTTTATTTTCATTATGCAACACTACATAATTTTGAAGACTAAAATTATGACTATTTATGACCACAAAATTCCGGGGTTTGAACAGTTAAAAGATTAACATCAGATTGATAAGTCGTTTTTAAACTCTTATGTTTCATTTAATGGTTTGATGGTTTAATCAACCAAATGCTTAAAAATTATTGTAGTTTCTCCCCGGATTAAAATTTTGTATTTATTATTTACTTATTGTATTGGCTTTGCTTTGACAAACTTTGAACTAAGGTTTTATTATTTTTAATCTTTTTATGATACATTCCTTGAAAACTGGACGAAGAAACTTAAAGTTCTTATTTCCAATACACCGAGATTGACGTATTTCGAGCTTAAGCTAATAGTTGCTTAATTATCGGGTTGTCCGGAAAATAATGCAGGATTTTAAGTTTTCATTAAAAAAAATCTATATAAAATATTCTGTTTACGTTTACAGGATTANTATTTTGATTAAAGAACATTGCTTTAAAGTAACTAGTTTCTTTTTTTTTGTTTAATACCAAAATCCTGCATTATTTTCCGGACAACCCAATACATTAAACAAACCATCTGTTCTATTTCAAAATGAGGAAGTTCTGAATAAAAAATAACAATAACAAGATACCTAGCATCAATATGAAATTCGAGACTTTTTATTTTGTATGACCCCTATCCTCATTTGGGCCACTTTTCAAATTTGAGTACCTCGAAAGTTAAATTTTTTGACTATGAAACATTATTTTTTAGCTTAAACCAGTTTATAATTATTTAATTTGTTATCGGTTTATTATTAAACATTATTTACTTTTTTATGTAAAGACGGTTGAGAAGTAAAATTATCTCCTTAGATTTCGTGGTCCGATTGACCAAATAACATCTTTCAATTAATTAATCTTTATGTAAGGCATTGGTTGAGATAAAAAAAGAGGGAAAATTCGAAAGGTTGGGTTGAGATGGGAAGTTGGTGTCCGAGTGGATCAAACTCACGATAGCCCAAGTGGTAGAGTCGCGGCGTATATAGTTGAAGGTCGTGGGTTCGAATCCCGCTCGTGGCACTGACTTTTTTTATCTTAACCAATGCCTACATAAAGATTAATTAAGTAAAATTAGTGCCACGAGCGGGTTCGAAACCAGACTATCGGCCTAGTTATAGTTATAAGTTATAGTTATTTAAGTTTAGGCATTAAGATGGTTCAAAGTTGAAACGCGTTTAAGTAAGTCGAAAACGTCGCTAGAGTTGTCTATCTGTTCTGAAAGTTGTTTGATTCAGTCAACTATGATTTTTTTCTTTGCAACGGTGTATTACTAAGAATGAACTCTTTGGAGTGTCGCTTTGTTTAATATTAAAGGAGATAGCCCAGAAATATCAGTCCAAGTCGACTATTTTGGAAATGGGAAATAGATAAGTAGGAAATTGTTTCAATTATCATAGTTGACGCTGGATCGGGATTGATTGATGGAGATTGATCGGCAATGAAACAACGAATAACCCGGGTCGGGGCACAACGCCGTATAAATATGGCGGTCTGTAATTCGATACCCGAAACTGAACGTCGGCCGGTTACAAAAAGCAATTATTTAATGGAGCTTATGCTGGTACGGAAGAAATACGGGCCCGGGGCCCTAATGGGCTTAAATTTTACTGTTATTGCTAGGAATCGGAGAAAGAGGAGTAAAAAGGGACAGGCAGTTAGCTGCAGATGACGCACTTTTTAATCGGAGGGGTCGACGCCATTTTCTTCCCGGGGTGGATTTTTCTCCAGCGGAAGGAGCGACGAGGGGGGCAAGTATTTCAATTAAATGTAAACCCAGCTCCCTTCCTCTTGTCAAGGGAATATGTTTACTTTCAATAAAAGGGAGGTACACTCATACCGGACCCTTTTTTAACCGGGGGAGCGAGCCGCCAGTCGATACTTTTTGAATCGACCACCCTACGCTCTCTCTTACACAAGAGGGTTGATGCCACCTGAAGGAAAGTGCTTCTCAATTCACGAACCAGCCTTTTTCGCCATTTTTATTTACCTCCTTACGTGTTTAAACCATTCTAATCTTTGAAATACACAAATAAATATAGCTTGAAATAGTTTAGTTTCTTCTTCATCTTCTTCCTTTGAAACAAGGCTCCAAATGGGCATAAGCCTCTACCATAGTTTTCCATAAATCACGGTTCGGTAGGTTTTTTCATTTCCAAACTATCACATCAATGACGTTTTCCCATCTCTTCTTTGTTCCGTTTGCTATTTGGTTGTGCGTTAACCATTTTTTCTCCTTAATTTGTCATGTCATTCATGTTTTCTTCAGCATTTTACTTTTTCACCTCACATCCTATACTACCCTTTGCTTTTTTGCAGTATGCTCCCTGTTTTCTTTTTTTACCTAATATACTCTTTTCCAAAGCTCTCTAGGTTGTCTCTGTTCGATGGTTTCTATGAGCTCCTCTTCTTCTTATTTCTTTCCGAATGTTGAATCCTGGTGGTACCAAATTGATCAACAGCTATAATTCAAAATCGTACAGAAAAACAGGTCTATTTATGTACATAGGCTGGACGTTTTGAAAAATAAGGACAACCCTGATTGGGTAATTAAGTCGATTCTGGTCATTTTGGAGTGCCTATACTTATTGTTTTGGTCTGTCTGGTTCCTTTCGTCCCCTCGCAGTGTTCAGTTTTTATTACTGCCCTCAAGTTATGAGATGCCAACAAGATGAAACGCGTCTGACATACCAAAAACCTTCCGAGTTTTGAAAAATATGGAGAAGAATTATTATGATATTTTTGATCACTTTTGGACTGCCTGCCCTCGTTGTTTTCATGATTTGTCTTCTCGCCCTCTCTAGTTCTCAATAATGTGCGCAAGTTACGAGATGCCAACAAGACGATACGCGTCTGGCACACCAACACATTCGGATTTTTGAAAAACATCGAGATGCGTAGGATAATTGTGATATTTCTGATCACTTTTGGACTGCACTCGCTGTTTTGGTTTGTCGGATGCGTTTCGGTCTCTAAATTTTAACGCGTCTGACAAACCAAAACGTTCGGAAAAGGAACTAGACGTCTCTCTCCGGCCTTCACGGTTTTGGCATGAATGTGAAATGAAAAATATGCGGTAACGTATGG